GTAAAACAGTTTGTAAACAATCAAAATGATCGGATTTACTTGCCAAAGAGGGCACCTTCGGTTGGCCACCAGAACTCAAGCGCCGGACATGGTGATGGTGTGGGCCGCCATAACAGCCGGTGGTCGCTTTCAGCTCGTATTAATCGACCGTGGCATCAGAATAAATACTGAATATTATCGCGAAAATATTCTGGAGGGTGTATTAAAACCTTGGCCACGCAAACATTTTGGCCGCAATCTTGGACATTCCAACAGGACTCAGCACGCGCCACCCAAGAATGGTTAAAATGAGGTTCTTCGCTTAATTTCCAGCGCACAATGGCCACCAAAATTTCAGGATACCAATCCGTTGGACTATTGTATCTGGAGTATTTTGGAAAGCAAGGTTGGCACTAAAAATACCAAAGTGTCGATCACCTCAAGCAAGCGCTTCGTCGAGAATGGGCCGAAATACCGCAGAGCAACATTCGGGAAACGTGTGACGGTTCCATTGGCCGTTTGAAGGCCATAATTCGTGCCAAAGGTAACCAAGGAACTCTTTAGTTCTTTTGAGTCTATTTTCTTTCTATTGCGCTAAAAGTTCTTGCACTTTTTGGAATTTCAATGGCTTTACCCCGAGCTCATTTTCCTTTTACAACCATTTTCTTGACGTCGGACTACGCTACCAGAATCACGGTAACGAGCTATAGAACGAGACACAAAATATTTGGTTTTCCAGCCAAATATAAAGAAATCACACTATCACGTTTGAATTCCATCACGAATAACTTTTTTCTGGAAAGTTCTCGCAAAAATGTTTTTTACGCTTGTAAACAATATAATGAGCTGTCACTGGAATAATTGTAACAGCTCTCGGACGAGTGGCTTAGAAATGACAGCAGTCGAAAGTTGATTGCTGTTTTTTCATCTCACCCTTTATTTTATATTCGTTTTATTCGGTCTGCTATAATCTAATAAAAAGTTCATTCATTTTGTAAGTTTTTCAAAGAGAGAACAAATGCTATTATATACGTTTCTATAGACAGAAGAGCCAGTATTAGACTTTGATCTACAGAAGCGAAGTACAGAATATTTCCAAATATACCAATATGTATATTTTAATTTCAACGTGCCATCCTATTGTACATTTATTTTCTCTGTAATCAAAATGTTCAAGTGTTTGTTTTGATTTTAATAATAAAAATTTACACTTTGTCATCAGCGCCAGCAACATGTTTGCTGTTGTTGCTGTGACGACTCTCACACTCTCTCTCTCTCTCTAACGTGAATATTTGATGTGTATAAATTACAAAAACAAATATCGAGCACAGATTCAATTAATACGTCATATGTGAGATTTTTTCGCTGTCAACTTTTTTTTTATTTAGATATTTTTGTTGTTGACTTTTTTGTTTGTGGGATTGTTGTGGTGACGATTGCAACGTCACTCATCAACTAAGAAAAACGCGATCGCAAAGAAGCGACTCAGTGAGACTGTCAGCTAGTAGTAGGTGAGTGAGTAGAAAGAAAAAAAAAAACAAAATCAAAGCATGGCGATTTTGTCGTTTGAGGAGAGTCTTAAGGCCTCAATCTAATGTGTGTAGTTAGAGTCGTTATTGTTGTTGACAGTGTACGCTTGCTGGCCAACGAAATAGAGAATTTTGATATATACCCAGTTACCGCGTCTTTTGTGTTGTCGTCCCATTAATATTGTTATTGGTTTGAGTTTTCTCAACCACTGTGGCAGCGTTTTAGTTGTGTCCACAGCGTTTTGTTAAAATTGGATATTTCGAATATCTCAATCAGTTTATGAGTGTTCATGTCGCAAATAACACACAGCTAAAAATTTCGCGTCGTGAATTCGTCGGGTCTGCACGCGTTTCAAACGATCAAGCGAATAGATATTAAACGCGTAAATTTCAAAAAAAAAAAAAAACAAAATTATAAACGGAAAATATTTAATAATTCATGTTTAAATGGAATTCATAATGCGTTCTAATCGATTGACGAATTGAAGCACAAAAAAAAAAAACAAAAGCAATGGAAAAATATACAAAATCGTTGGTGTGATTAAACAAATTTTCAAACAGCAACAACAAAAGTCAAATATAATAAACGACATTATAATAAATTGAAAAAAAAAATGTCAAAATGCTTGTGAAAAAAATAAAACGATTTGTGTAAAAAAAACGAAACAAAAATAAATCACTGCTACAGTGAGTGCAATTTCGATGATGGATTATTAATGTTTGACAGCGATCTAGGGCTAAATTCGACTACACATTCCACAATGAGCGATCGTAACGACAAAACCTCCCTCTTCCGTAGATCATAGGACGTTTTTTATATTTGCGATTACTGTATACGAGGGTCTTAAACCGGCTGTAAAAGCCAAATACTCTTACTTCGATATACCTAGAATAGGTGTAGGCTTCACTTTTTAAAAATTATTTTTTCTAAAACGATTCTCTCTTTTTTTCAAAGCCAAATTTTAATAAAAAGATGTAAAAGGAAACGCAATTATTGTGCGTTTTCTCTTCATTTTTGCCTGCAAGGTTTTTGAATTTGGGAACGGAGAGCCTTGGAAAACTGGAGGCACGAAATAGTTATATATCTGAAATGCTTCCGAAAGGCATTTATTTGTACCTGTCTGAGTAGAAAATGTGTATGGTCTTTCATCTTTCTAGTTCTTACTAGAGAATGGAAGAGTTTTCATGGGTCTTCTTTAAATAGAAAGCCTTTTATAGGTCATATACAGGGTGAAATGAAAAAAAATTATTTTTTTGTTTTTTACATTTTTTTGAACGAAAGCAAAAAAAAAAAAAAGATTTGTTCGAATTGGTCACCTTTGGCACGAATGGTTGCTCTGCGGTATTTTGGCCCATTCCCGGCGAAGCGCTTGCTTGAGGTGATCGACACTTTGGTATTTTTTAGTGCCAACCTTGCTCTCCAAAATGCTCCAGACACAATAGTCCAACTGATTGGTATCCGGAGATTTTGGTAGCCGTGGAACCTCATTTGGTAACCATTCTTGGGAGGCGCGTGCTTAGTGCGATGGTTCTGAGTCCTGTTGGAATGTCCAAGGTCTGCGGCCAAAATGTTTGCTTGCCCAAGGCTTTAATACACCCTCCAAAATATTTTCGCGATAATATTCGGCATTTATTTTAATGCCACGGCCGATTAATACGAGCGAAGAGCGACCATTTGCTGTTATGACGGCCCACATCATTACCATGGCGGCGCTTGAGTTCTGGTGGCCAACCGAAGGTGCACATTTTCAGCTGACGTATTTGGCAATTAAACACGATCATTTTGTTTGTTTACAAACTGTTGGAATGTTTTCTCATCTGAGAAAACCAAATTCGGCAGTTCACCACTTTCGGCCAAGCGAAGCAACTCTTTAGCTCTAAGCAATTCTTCATCTCTTTTGAGTCTATTTTCTTTCTGTTGCGTTGTAAGTTCTTGCACATTTTGAAATTGCAATGACTTCACCTCGAGCTCATTGTTCAATATTTGCCGAATGGAATATTGCGATATGTTCAGTTCACGAGCCATTTTTCGGCCACTGCGACGCGGTTTTCGATCAAGTCGCTTCTTTACTTTTCGAACCATTTCAGTTGATGTTGCTGTTTTCTTCCGTCCACTTTCTTGACGTCGGGCTACGCTACCAGTACCACGGTAGCGAGCGATGGTACGAAACACAAAAGATTTATTGACATTTAAATGCTGCAGTACTCTTACGATAGCGACTTGTGGTTTTCCAGCCAAATATAAAGAAATCACACTGCCACGCTTAAATTTCATCACGAATAACTTTTTTTCTGGAAAATTCTCACCAAAATGCTTCTGTACGCTTGTAAACAATATAATGAGCTGTCACTGGAATAATTTTAAAAGCTGTAGGCCGAGTGGCTTTGAAATGGCAGCAGTCTGAAGTGGTTGAAGTTTTTTCATCTCACCCTGTATATTAACACAATTTTTTTTCCTCTTCGATTACATCCACGTTTATTTTAGCCAGTCGCAAAAAGTAATTTATGATGAAAAACAAAATGCATTATGTGTAAGAGTAACAACAAAAGCAAACATAACGTAAAAATTTCATTAACAAATTACCCAAAAGAAAACGAAAAAGAAATGATCAAAAAAAGTAACGAGAAAGAAATGAAATCTATTTAAAAAAAATTGTTTCTGTAGACAAACAGACAAAACAAATTTAGACTGAAAATTCGTCTAAAAATTGTCTGCCATTGGTAAATAGAATAGCACACATCAGCCGATGCATTATGACACACGTCTAATAACACCAACAACATCGTTGAAATCCATTTTTCAACATTTATCGGAGACGACAGAAAAAGAAATCCCCAACTATAATCCCCCCTATATTTAAATGTCAACATAACGGCAAACCTTGAAAGAGGAATTGTTTACTATTTGATGTTGTTGTTGGTGTTGTAAAAACAGAAAATATTTGATTTTGCAAAAACTACAATAATTTGCGTGTTTTTTTTTTTCTTCTCTTAAATACATTACTGACCAATGACAAAGACACAAAGATATTTCAAAGAAATACCTGCAAAAAAACATAACATGATTTTTCAACACATGGGGGTAGGAGGGAGAGGTGTACCACGGTCATTACCAACCACCACACCATTATCATCACCACATTCAACAACTATTTTAGTTAATTGGCCGGCCTTTTGTTATTTTTAATTTGAATTTATTTATTTTTTTCTGTTGATTGTTTAAAAAACATTTCTTAGTTAGTGCAAGAAATCGCAGAAGAAGAAATAAACAAACGAAAACTACACATCGCAATACACATATACGCACATGAAGTGTGCCCACAGATACAAACATCCATAGGATGTGTTGATATATTGACAATCTGCCTGTGATACATATAATTTTTTTTTCTAAATTTTCTAAATACTTTTGCTGTGATTTTATAATTTGTGAATTGTGAAGCCAACTTCTTTCTGTGTTACTGACAACGTCAACCATGAAATTCTTTCTAGGCCTTGCCAATTGGACATCCGACAGTCGTGACAAATATGATGGCAATCAAACCGATAAGGTAAGTTCAATGCAGTGTATTTTATTTTGAAAATATATTATTAAAACAGAAAATAGTTCTATACTATGGAAGCATAAACTACTACATCTCAAGGCGTGCATAACTTTTCATCTGCGTAAATCTGTCAACAAACTATTATTATTTGGGAATAAGGTTTTTGGGCGTAGGAGTTTTTATATATAATTCGAATCATTTTTATAGCAATTTGAAAATCTCTTTTATCTTTATCCAAGGTTCATTTAAAATTTGAATTACTTCATTTGAAATCCGAGTGAATTATCGAATTATAGAGCTGCGATGGTGATTGCAGTGGGTAATTTGGCGACAAAGAGACCTACCAATAGGAACAATAGTCTCTACATTTGTTTCACATTTTATATAAAAAAGTTGCGGCAAACAAAGGTAGAAAAAAGTTACTGGTATGGTAAGAAAAAAAATAATATAACTCCTTGAGTTCTACAGATATAAACATGAAAGTTTAATAGAAAATAGAAGTTTCTAACTCAGGGAACTCGTTGTTATACCCTACACCACATTGTGAGTATTATGTCTTTGTGCATTTGTTTGTAGCATCGAGAAGGAAGCGAGATAGACCCATAGTTCCTTTGGATGATTTGTATAGAATCACATTCTGAGTCGATTTATGCATGCCCATCCGTCTGTTCGTCTGTCCATGTATTTTTGTAAACAAAGTTCAGTGAGCATTCATTGTCGAGATAAATTTTTTTCACAAATTCTTTGTTTAGTCCAAGGACGTACGCTATTGGAATTGGGGATAATCGGTCAACATTTAGATATAGCTTCCATATATATCTTGGTCCGATTTACTTTTTATTGCGCACCAAATGTCTAATATCAGTCCAAATTGGATGATCAAATTGAGCCTAGAAATAAGCATGCCAAATTTGGTGGAAATCGGGTCAGATATAGCTATAGCTACGATACATATTGTTTGCATCCGATTTGTTAATTTTGTCCTTCACAGCCGGAATAACGTTATTTGGGAAAATATATCAAATACAGAACAGTGTTTGCTTGTTTGTTCGGGATACCATAGTATTTTGTTGTTGCAGAATGGTCAGGCTTAATCCCTTTATTGTTGTTTCTATAAAAACAACGTTTGTTTATTAGTGGAGAACACGATGGTCATGTCTACTAGGGGGTAAACAATATATCAAATACAGCTAAGAAAAAACTTTTCCAAATTTTATCGAGATCGGTTCAGATTTGGATATAGCTACCATATATGTCTTTATCCGATGTTAAGTTTATTGTGCACCAAATGGTTAATATAAGTCCGAATGCATTAGATTTTGGCACATATGACCGATTTCCGCCTGGAAGAAGTGTGTCGAATTTGGTAAAAATCGGTTAACATATAGCTGTAGCTCCCACATAAATTGTTCATCCGATATGCCATTTTTGTTCTGCACAGTCGTGATATGTACTCTAAACCAACGATATTTGGTGCCAGCAATCAGATACAGCACAGAAAATTTTGTGCTAATTATACCCTACACCACAAGGTGGTCAGGGTATTATGTCTTTGTGCATTTGTTTGTAACAGGCAAAAGGAAACGAGATAGACCCATAGTTCCTTTTGATGATCTGCATAGAATCACTTTCTGAGTTGATTTATGCATGTCAGTCCGTCCGTCCGTCTGTCCATGTATTCTTGTGAACAAAATGCAGGTCGCATTTATTATCCGATTGAGATGAAATTTTCTTTGACCCAAGGACGAACCCTATTGAAATTGGAGATAATCGGTAAAAATTTAGATATAGCTCCCATATATATCTTCGTCCGATTTGCTTTTTATTGTGCACCAAACGTGTAATATTAGCCCGAATAGTGTGCAATTTTGCACATACAACCAAATTAGGCCTGAAAATAAATATGCCAAATTTTATCGAAATCGGTTTAGATATAGCTATAGCTCCCATATATATTGTTCATCCGATTTGTTATTTTTGTCCTCCGCAGCCGTAATATGCACTCTGTAACAACAATATTTGAGGAAATATATCAAATGCAGCTCAGAAATACCTTTGCTAAATTTTATCGAGATCAGTTCAGATTTGGATATAGCTCCCATATATAACTTCGTCCGATTTACCATTTATTGTGCACTAAACGTCTAATATTTGTCCAAGTGGGATGGAATTTGGCACATGCGACCGAATTTAGTCTAGAAGGTAGTATGCCAAATTTGGTGAAGATCGGTTCAGATATAGTTATAGCTCCCATATATATTGTTCATCCGATTTATTGTATTTGTTACCCACAGCCGTAATATGGACTCCGTAACAACGATATTCAGGGAAATATATCAAATACAGCTCAGAAATATCTATGCCAAATTTTATGGAGATCGGTTCAGATTTGGATATAGTTCCCATATATATTTTTATCCGATTTCAAATTAATTTTGCACCAAATGGGCAATACAAGTCCGAATTTAAAAGATACAAATGCTACGGCATATTTAGTCCTTTGAATTTTAAATTATAATTATAATCATAGCGTGTATGATTGAATTCTCCCATAAATAACTTTTAAGTGGAGCTCAACTAAATTAGCAAAGTGGTGTAGGGTATCATAAAATCGGCCCCGCCCGACTTTAGGACTTTCTTTACTGGTTTTATTTGAGATCCGTTTAGGTTTGGATTTAACTCCCATATGTTTTTTTTTCATCAGAGATTACGTTTATGTTGCAAAAAAAAACGTAATATCAGCTCAAATAAAATTTCGGCGAAAATGGGATCCGATATGGCTATAAGTCCGAAATATATGTTTTTATGTCAAAGTCGAAAGGTACAAATACCTCGGTCAAATTTAATGATAGTCACATATATTAGTTCCTTTTGTTTTCAAATTATAACTGATCTAAAGCCATAATACGCATCCAAAAACATTCATTGTTCGTATGATCTACTTCACATAAATTTCCAATTTAAAGGTTAAATTGTTACGGGTAACTCTAATAAATATGAATAGTGGTGTAGGCTATTTTAAAGTTGATCCCGCCCGACTTTTGAACTTTACTTACTTGAGTTTGAGTCTGCCTGTTTCAAAATTTAAGTTCCATAAACTTTTTTTCCAAACTTTAATATAATATGGTTTTCTTTCTATAGAAACCCTATAAAAGGTCTTCTATATAGAAAATGTATTCTTCTATAGAATGTCTTATAACAATGGAAGGCCTGTAAAAGGTCTTTAAAAGTTTTTTCTAGAAGACAAGTATAAGGTCCTCCATCTGTTGAAGTGCTGCCAAGGTGGGGTATAGCGGTTCACTTCTTCTGGCACCTTCCAAAACGTGTCAAACTTTTTAATAATTATATCGCTCATAAAATTCGAAATAAGCATCCAAATTTTACACATCTGAATATGTTTATTAACACAAGATTTGTTGTGAATATAGTACAGGGTGAAATGAAAAACTGTAACCACATCAGACTGCTATCAATTGTAAGCCAGTCGTCCAACAGCTGTTATAATTATCCCCGTGACATCATTTTATATTGTTTACAAGCGTAAAAAATCGTTTTGGTAAAAAATTTCCAGAAAAAAAGTTATTCGTGATGGAATTCAAGCGTGATAGTGTGATTTCTTTATATTTGGCTGGAAAACCACAAGTGGCTATCATTAGAACACTCCAGCATTTATATGTGAATAAATATTTTGTGTCTCGTACCATGGCTCGTTACAGTGATACTGGTAGCGTACCCCAACGTCAAGGAAGTGCCTCGTTTGGCCGAAAGTGGTGAACTGTCGACTTTGGTTTTCTCCGATGAGAAAACATTCGTTGTCCAGCAGTTTATAAACAAACAAAATGATTGTGTTTACTTTCCAAAGAGGTCAGCTGAAAATGTGCACCTTCGGTTGGCTACCAGAACTCAAGCGCCGGCCATGGTGATTGTGTGGGCTGCCATAACAGCCGATGGTCGCTCTCCACTCGTATTAATCGACCGTGGCATCAGAATAAATGCCTAATATTATCGCGAAAATACTCTGGAGGATGTATTAAAGCCTTGGGCACGCAAACATTTTGGCCGCTTCACTGGGAATGGGCCAAAATACCGCAGAGCAACATTTGGGCAGCGTGCGACGGTTTCATTGGTCGTTTGAAGGCCAAAGGTGACCAATTCGAACAAATCTAAAGTTATTCTAAAATTTGATGCTATTTCCGACATTTTTTGCTTTCATTCAATAAAATTAAAAAAAATGTAAAAATGATGGCGTTTGACTTTGTTGCAGTTTTTTCTTCTCAACCTGTATATCTGACTTAGGACAGATATGAAATAGAAAATATTGGCCCACTCCTTTGTTGCCATCCCAATAAAGGGTCAACATTTTAATAATCACAACACAAGGCGGAGGTATAAAGTGTCGGCCAAACAGATTGACACTTTCTAACTTGTTTTTTTATCTATAGAAGTCCTGCGAAACATGTTCTATCTACTGATATTTCATTGATATATGCAGAGGACATTTTTAGGCATTTGCTTTTAATTTCTTCCTTGGTAAGGTCAACAAGTAACGTCCAAAGATTAGAGAAAATCGATCTTGACGTGCACATAATACTAATTCAAATTTTTATTTGTGGCAGTTCCTCGGCCCATACTTCTAGTTTTGTGGTCGGTTATGTGTTTCCAAAGATGTCGTAGTTTAACTTATCTTCCTAACCACAAACCATAGACTAGCTCATTTATATTACTCTGCAAAATTCAATTTTGAAACTCAAATTTTTTATATAAATTAATAATAATATTCTTCCTTTTCTTCCTTTTGACACAGACTCCGGGCGATTCATCGAAACTCAATCGCAAAGAATCGTATAAAGCGCAACGTAAAAATTACCGGCGCGAAAAGAAACGTGTTGCATCGGAATTATTAAATTCATTACAGGATCCTGCTGTGATTGTCTTGGCGGATTGGCTTAAGGTAAGTGTAATGAAGAATAGCAACATATTAAGCACCTATACCAGCACATATGTGTGTGTGTGTGTGTGCCTGTAATTTCCTCTAAGGATGTAATTTAAAATATACATATTTCAAGTTCAGTGGCGCGCGGCTTAAAGTATTAAACAAATTGTAATGACGACGCTGATGATGATAATAATGTAGCTATAAAGGGCGTGGATGGGGAGGTAAACGAATAACGTGACTTTAAATGGAATTGCGTGCGGGCCAGATTGACAGACATGCGGTTTATTATTGTTATTAATAATGACATACATGTATTTATCTGTGTATTTGAAATTTGTTGTGTGTGTGTGTGTGTTTTGTTAGAGTTAAAATATAGGAATTGGATTTTGCAATATTCTATGAAATCTACATGATATCATACAAATGGTCAAAAGTCACTTTTTGAGAACGCAATCTCTATGTTGAAACCATGATTCAGTCCACATTTTTTCACGTAGAGCGTCAAAATTTTAGCAGAACAGCTTGTATTGTGTCTAGGATGGTTAGTATTGAAAATGAGATATATCGGTCCACGTTTTGGTATAGTCCCCACATAACGGTACCTCAGATATTCGGTATTTTGCTGATTTTTGCCACATTTTTTCACAGATTCGTCTAAAAATTGGTATTTATTGGTTATGAAGGGTTCTAACTCCGGTGGCGAAACATTGTATGTATAGGTTAATTTTTTGCTAGAGACCCCATACAACGGTACCTCCTGATATTCGGTATTTTGATGATTTTTGCCACATTTTTCCACGAATATGTCTAACAATTGGTATTTGTCATAATGGATTCTAATGTTTCCTTCACCCTAAGTTCGACCCGGCCGAAATTAATGTTTTTTTTTTACTTGTTATAATTCCATTGTAAAACCTCAAAATATTTGTTGAAGCTTAAAGACATTATGCTGAAACGACATAAAGTTCGCAGCATTTGAGAAATTTTTTAAAACTTTGCACACGTATTGTTATTTAGGGCAATCACGAATATTCTCCGGGAAATTTTCCGTGCTTAAAATTTTTTAAAGAGCAAAAATCTTTTAAAATGTTTACCTTGAAGATGGAAAACATAAATGTATATTGACATTTCAATTTACCCTGTGGTTTCTGAAATAAAAATCTTCAAAAGAGGGAATGGAAAAAAATCCACGTGAAATATTATTTCTTTTTTGTCCTGATTGCCTTTGGAATATGGCATATTTGGAACACTTTAAATCGCTTTAAGTCTAGTTATATCTCCTCTCATGAAGGAAAAAGTCCAAAGTTTCAATTCCAAACGGCCATTGAAACCGTCACACGCTGCTCGAATTTTCGCTCTGAGGTATTTTGGCCCATTCTTCCCGGCGAAGCGCTTGCTTCGGCATTTATTCTGATGCCACGGTCGATTAATACGAGCGGAGAGCGCCCATCGGCTGTTATGGCGGCCCACACCATCACCATGGCCGGCGCTTGAGTTCTGGTGGCCAACCCAAAGGTGCACATTTTCAGCTGACTTCTTTGTATGTTTAGGGCTACTTTGATACCAAAACGTATGCAGTCTAAATATTCGAAACTTCTATGAATGGGGGTATAATAAGTTTGCCTTGGCCAAACCTCGAAATATTCGTCCAAGACGTAGGAAACTATATATAGATATTTCTATCTCGCCGAGCCAAAACTAAAGCAACTGAAATTATAAGGAGAATGAATGCCCTGTAACTTTTTAAAAATTAAGAAAATATGAAAGTTTTTCTTGTTTTAAATTAGGCACTTTATTCACTTTTTAAAAACTTAAAACAAAAAACCAAAATTGATTTTTATATTAAAAATAATGTATGGTAAAGTCAATTAACCCGATTTTGGCTTGGACAAAACAAAAGCAACTCTGTTATACATTCATATGATCGCTCCAATTTCAGTGGTTTTAACTGTTATATTTATCGCTTTTTGTTTCCTTCAACAATTTCGATTGCCATAAATCATATTTGAGAAGTTTTTTAACAACAACTCGTGTTTGTTTCCGATTTTTAAGTACTGCCCAAAAACGTTTAAAAATGGTTAGAAGAAAATACAGTACATGGATAAAATAGAAAAATTATCAGGGACTATGAAAACAAGCTATCGCAGAAAATGATTTCCGAGAAATATTTCATAAGTATTTCTGTGATTTCTCGTATACTAAGTCGGTTTTATAAACCTGGATCAGTAGTAACAGTTTATAAAGTATGAAGGACATGAAAAACTTCAGCCCGTACTGAACAACAAATTGTGAGAGAAATAAAAAACTACCATTGAAGAGTTTAACTGAATTTGTGAGAGAGCTATCATTGGATATAAGTTTGAGATCAGTGCATAGTCTAGTAGTGGCAGCTGGTCTTCATGCCCGTAAGCCATCAAAAAAGCCATTTATATCTGGAAAAAAACAGAAAGCCAGGATGGATTAATTGGAATCCAGCTCAATGGAAAGACATTTTATTTTGGGATGAGTCTTCGTTTAATATTAAAGGCTCAGACATGAAAAATTTTACGGTGAGAAGGCCAAAAAATGAAAGACTCAAGTCGCAGTGTTGCAAGGGTACAGTGAAGCATGAGGGAGGGTCAAAAATGGTGTGGCGCTGTTTTTCTTTTTATGGACTTGGACCTATCCATGAAATAAAGGAAGGCATGGATCGGTTTGTTTACAAAGATGTGTTGGACATCACATTGTTCCCTTTCGCTGAGAAAAATATTCGGCTAATTTGGGTGTTTCAGCATGACAGTGATCCCAAACATGCATCAAAACTTGTTAAAGATTGTTTGCGGGAGTCAAAAATCGATGTTTTGTAATTGCCGGCACAATCATCTAACCCAAACCCCATAGAAAACCTTTGGAGTATCGTAGACAGGAAGATCAATCGAGATTCGGAAACAAATAAACACAAAATTTTCCAAAGAATTCAGGGTACCAGGGAAAGCATACCTAAGGATCAAATTGAGAGTGTTATAGATTCAAGGCTTCGTAGGTGTGCAGCTCCTATCAAAAATAATGGATGCTATCGACTACTAGCCAAAATTTAATTATTTTAAAATCAAAAAGTTGCTTTAGTTTTGACCAAGCAAAAATTGGGTCATTTTAGTTTTCCATATATTATTTTTCATTCAAAATTATTTTTGTATTTTTATTTTTAGTTTTTCAAAAGTGAATTAAGTGCCTCATTTAAAAGTGGAAAAATAATTACGATTTTTTTATTTTTGTAAAAGTTACAGGGCATTTATTGTCCTTGCGATTTTAGTTGCTTTAGTTTTGGCCACCAGTGTATGTTGGTTCGTTAATATATGTTTGTGGGGTTAAGATTAGAATAGAAGCCTATTGTTGGAGAAGACTATCGCAATATATAACGGAATTACAATGAACCAGAAACCGAAAAAATCTTAATTTTGTAAAAAAAGGCAGAAATTTCTATTAAATCGCAAATATTTTCAATTCCAGCGAAATCACAAATACACGAAAATTTCACTTCTGATGATGCTGATATCGCATATATAGCAAACTATATACAAACTCATGTATCAATAAAGGGGATATTAGTTAGGACGTTTATGACTCAAGAACGGCTGGACGGATTTCGACAATTCTCACCCTTTTGGCAGAAAAGAATAAAATATAGAAAAATCGCATAGAAAGAGTATATTTCTGTAACATTTTGTCATATATATTTCATTTTTGTCAATTTTTTTCAATTTGTCCTACAATATTGAATTTTACCTTTTTGAATTTTTTTACCTGATATACAATGTTTTGGGGGTATTATATTCAGATAGCAATTATAGTTCGATCTTTACGAAATTTTACGAGGGGAAGGATTAGGGTCAGAATAGAAGCCGCTTTAAAGGGTTTAAAAGGGACTAAAAAACTAAAAATTGTCTAGATTTTGCAGTACCCCTACAGTTCTCAACTAAGGACCAATAGATATGGATTTTTTTTATGAGGTTAGAGTTCAGCGCAGCGCTGAAGCCTAGCATTTTGAATGACCATCGGATACAATTTACATACGCGACAGAATCATCGTAGGCCTAGTGTATCTATTGCAACTGCTTCTTAGTTATTTATTTTTATAACTTACATTCATTTTCATTATTCATTTCAAATATTATTTTTGTTTTTTTTATTTTGACTTAACGCTAATATTCGCACCTCAGCTCACAATACAAGTGAATAAATTGTTCATTGTATGGATGGACACTGATCATAACAATTTAGTTTTATTCATATCCAAAACACTTTAATTTGTTTAGAAAATATTTTCAGTATTGAATTGTCTCGTCGTTGGTCGAACAATTCATTAACGCTTTCGATCAAATTGATTGGCATTTCAATTCCACAAAAAGAGCAACCACACAACATTTATACGAATATCTTTATACACACACACAAGTCGGTCGAATGGTTTATTTGTTGTTTTGTAGTGTAGTGTAAAACGAGGTGCGTTTTAGGAGATTCATTGGCTTGTATATACATAATTTAGTAATGCGGCACATTTCAAAAATATTCATTGTGACCTTTATGCAGAATTTTAAGATTCTAGCTTAAATTTATAAAATGTAAGTTCCACGACACAGTTTTTTTTTTAATTTTTGTACGAATTTCCAAAAATATTCTCGAACAGAATGAATTGCGATGAAGTTACAAGATGTACTATATCAAATTATTCGTGGTTTCTCCCCTTTAAAGCTTACAAAAAAACCAAAATCTCTTACAGAGTAAGCTCGCTTCTGGTTAAATTTGACGCATTGTAGCATTTTTACATTTTTTGAAATTGACCTAGACTTTATTTTGAATTCTGAAAACTCATAAAATTTCTAGCAGGAGAAAAGAAACCGATTTAATCCTTTTCACCCTGCACAATTTCTCCGGCCATAATCTCAGAAATATGCCGTTAAAATACTCGCATTTTTCCAAGTGTATTGCGCTGCTATTACTTCACATTCAAAACAATCACTAAGTGACCGGGTGCTAAATGTTTGCTACTTTAGAAATTTTTTCGCACTCTATTTGTACTCGGTTAGATGAGAAGTTGAGATAAGCGAAATTAGTAAATAAATGTTTTAATTTTGGAAATTGTTGATAATTGACCAAGTGCATTGCGATACGAACAAATGTCTACGATTGTTTACTTAGTTCATTGCTTTATTTTTTCACACCCATAGACTGTTTGAATATATTATGGAGAATTAATTAATAATATTAATATCATAGCAATTAATGGGAGACAGTCAAAATAAGACAAGAAATACTGTAATTTTAGTATTTGGGAACATAGTTTAAAATGCTTTCTTTAAAAAAATGTTTATTCAGTTGTCCACTTCTGAATTTTAGGTAAAATAAGTCGTTACATTTTCATGAAATTGTATACGATTTGATATGACCCTGCAATTTGCATGACCTTTAAAAATTAATTGGACACTGTGGTCAAACCCTCGAAATAACTTAAATTAAGAGGTACATTTACAGGGTGAGATAAAAAACTGCAACAAAGTCAATCGCCAAAATTTTTACATTTTTTTTTTAATTTTATTGAATGAAAGCAAAAAATGTCGGAAATAACCTTTGGCACGAATTTTGGCCTTCAAACGGCCAATGAAATCGTCACACGCTGCCCGAATGTTGCTCTGCATTATTTTGGCCCATTTCCGGCGGAGCGCCTGCCTGAGGTGATCGACACTTTGGTTATTTTTAGTGCCTTGCTTTCCAAAATACTCCAGACACAATAGTCTAACGGATTGGTATCCGGAGATTTTGGTGGTCATTGTGGGCTGGAAATGAAGCGAGGAACCTCATTTTGTAACCATTCTTGGGTGACGCGTGCTGAGTGCGATGGTGCTGAGTCCTGTTGGAATGTCCAAGGTCTGTGGCCAAAATATTTGCGTACCCAGGGCTTTAATACACCCTCCAGAATATTTTCGCGATAATATTCGGCATTTAATCTGATGCCACGGTCGAATTATACGACCATCGGCTCTTATGGCGGCCCACACCATCACCATGGCCGGCGCTTGAGTTTTGGTGGCCAACCGAAGGTGCACATTTTAAGCTGACCTCTTTGGCAAGTAAACGCGATAATTTTGTTTGTTTACAAATTGCTGGACAACGAATGTTTTCTCATCGGAGAAAACCGAATTCGGCAGTTCACCATTTTCGGCCAAGCGAAGCAACTCTTTAGCTCTTTTGAGACTATTTTCTTTGGTGAGGTGTAAGTTCTTGCACTCTCTGGAATTTCAATGGCTTTACCCGGATCTCATTTCCCAATATTTGCCGAATGGAATATTGCGATATGTTCAGCTCACGAGCCATGTTTCGGCTATGGCGACGCGGGTTTCGATCAAGTCGCTTCTTTACTTTTCGAACCATTTCTGCTGATGTTTCTGTTTTCTTCCGCCCACTTTCTTGACACGTCGGGCTACGCTACCAGTATCACGGTAACGAGCGATGGTACGAAACACAAAAGATTTATTGACATTTAAATGCTGGAGTGCTCTTACGATAGCCACTTGTGGTTTTCCAGCCAAATATAAAGATATCAATTTCAATTCCATCAAAATTAAAAAAATCGAACATTTATTTTCCATTTTATGCAAATTGTTATTAGTAATCAAATTTCTAACTATTTACGGGGGAGGTACAAGATGCGGTGGACCGATATCTATTTTCATCACACCAGATCTTGTATTAACAGAAATATTGGTTTGTGTGACATTTAAACAGAATCGGATGCGTATTTCGCATTTTATAAGCGTTTCGATTTTTCAAAATGTTGACACTTTTCTGGAGGTGGTACCAGAAGGAGTGGACCGATATCTATCATCTTCACCCCAGATCTTGTGTTAACAGAAATATTGGGATGTTTGCAATTTGAAGAGAATCGGTTGCTTATTATTTTGAATTTTATGAGCGTTTTGTTATTCAAAACGTTGATTCCTTTGTGGGGGAGGTACCGGAAGAATTGGACCGATATATCCCATCTCCATACCAGATTTCGTGTTAATAGAAATATTGGGATGTGTGAAATTTGAAGACAATTGGAAGCCAAATTCGCATTTTATGAGAAATAAAATTATTTAATATGTTGGCTCGTTCTGTAGGAGATACCAGAAGGAGTGCACCGTTATATCTGATCTTGTGAAAATAGAAATATTGTGATGTGTGAATTTTGAAGACATAGAATGCTTTTTTTTTTTTTGCATTTTATTTGAGATACAATTATTCAAAAATTTGATCACTTTTTGAGGAGGTATTAAAAGGGGTTGGCCGATATCTGCCATCTTCACAACATATATTATGTTGATGGAAATATGGGGGCGTGTGAAATTTAATTTTAATGTTGACCTTTTGTTGGGGAGGTATCAGAAGGTGTTGGCCGATATCAGCCATCATCACACAAGATCTTGTTTTAGTAAAAATATTGGGATGTGTGAATTGTTATGATGAAATAGAATCGGGCTTTTATTTCTCATTCTATAACAGTTGTAATTATTTAAAAATTTGACCCTTTGTGGGGGAGGTACTTGATGAAGTGGATCGATATCGGCCATGTTTGCACCTGGCCCAGAACTGATATAAACATTAGGATTTGCTATGTTTGCACAAAATCTGATTACTATTCCTTCTTTTATGAGGTAAATTATTTTGTGTAAAAATTTGGACTATTTGTGGGGGAGGTACCAGAAGCAGTGGACCGATGGTCAACATCCGAGCTTGTTCTAAGTTTTACAACAATATTATGATGTACGAAGTTTGGACCAAATCGGAGACTACTTTCTAGAGTTATCGTGCGCACCAGTCAGCCAGACATTTTAAACATCATAATTTTATATTTAGATCAGAACATTTGCAATTTAGCTTGTTTTAATATTTCAAAACATTAGCCTTTGGTGTCTCTTCATATTTGATTATTTTCAAAGATTTTCATATTTTTTTCAATTATTTTACACAGGTTCGTGGAACTTTAAAATCATGGACCAAACTATGGTGCGTCCTAAAACCCGGACTATTGTTGCTATATAAAAGTCCAAAAGTGAAAAGTAGCCATTGGGTCGGTACAATACTGCTGACATCGTGTCAAGTCATTGAGAGGCCAAGCAAAAAAGATGGATTCTGCTTTAAACTATTTCATCCTTTGGAACAATCGATTTGGGCACCCAGAGGACCGGACAAGGAAACCATAGGTATGTTCAGTAGATAAATATTTTTAAGAAAATTTAGAATTTAAAATGTATGTTTTATTTTTCGCTTTACAGGTGCTGTGGTACAACCTCTGCCAACGGCTTATCTAATTTTCAGAGCTCCTAGTCAAGCGGCCGGCAAATGCTGGATGGATGCCTTGGAATTGTCGTTAAGATGTTCCGGTCTATTATTACGTTCAAATTCTTCTCCGGGACCCAATCAACAACCCGGTGCAATAGAGGCTTCAATTTCCCACGAGACCCAATGGTCGGAGGCTGATTATGAAAAGCATTTCAATGATCAAGGTAAGCTGTTCCCAAGCCTTTTAATGTTTGCATTTATGTTCTTTGCTGATGTTATTAGTTTTGCAAATGTTTGTACTAAATTTTGAATTTTTCCAAATTCCACAAAAAAACTCCTCCCCTCCCCCCAAAAAAACTACTAACACTTAACTCCCAAGACAAAGATAAATTTCCCAAAATACAGCGTAAGTCACAACAACAACAACAATCACAGCAATATCTCACAGTACCAACAACAACGGATGACGGTGGTAGCACCGATACCAGCATCTATCATCCATCACGTTCGCAAACACCACTGTTACAACAACTCTATCTAACCATGACCCATTGGGAACGGGTTGTTGCCGCCAATGCCCATCAATTGAAAAAAGCCAAACATTTACCGAAACTACGTAGATCCAAAAATAATATCGATTTCAGTGATGTCTCTAGCGTTGAAAACTCACCCAGAAAAACGCCACACGACTCATTGAAGTTCTTGAAGAAACGTCGAGGGACATTGCTGAAATCGTCGTCGTTGCGTTCGATTCGAAAATCAACATCCAGCTCTTCCGATGAAGAGGATTTGAAAACGATAATATCAACGCGTCAATTAAGTTCGAATGGATCGTCGAGGCCAGTTAGTGCACCACCGGGTATTTTGAAAAGATAAATTCTAAAAAAAAACAAATTTTAAATTCTTTTCTGCTTGTTGATACATTTTGTAGAAATGGCTAAATGGCATTGGATCAATTCAAAAATCATTTTTTTTGGGAGGATATCATTTGTGAGGATATAGAAAGAGAATAACGGAATAGCTCAACAAAAAATATTAAACTTAAATATTTATTTGACAATTGTAGTTGGAGCCATCAACATACCTTCCTAATCATCAAGGAATACACAATTGGGAACCAATATTAAATACTTTTGCAGGGAATAAAGCTACCAACCAGGAAATAAAAATAAAAAATTGCATCTCACGCAAAGTCATATACAATGTCAAATGTTGTAACCACCAATTGGAAGAGTGTCCTTAGTAAATGAACAAATCTATTTGTCAAGGAAAAGCAAAAATATATAACATATTTCTCGAGAAAGACTGAAAAACATGGACTACAATAATGAAAATGGGGACTACAAAGACAGGAAAAATATCTTTTCTATATAGAGTACAAATTTTGTCCTCAGAAACTTTTTTAATTCCAAAAATAATTGCCATAACACAATAAGACGATTTCTTAACCAACAGACTTATATATCTTCAATACTCCATTGTTTTGTATACGTTCTAAAGTCCCTTATGTGTCCAGCTAAACACGGAAGCTTTTGACCCAATTTTGTCGTTGCCACGCATGTCAATACAGCCTTAACTCCTTCCAAAAATACAATAGATTACAGAACACATTCACATGTATTCTCCATATACGTATTATTCATTTTGTTCGCCTTGTAGTTGAAATTGTCATAATGTAAACCCTAAAAAATTACCATATTTACAATTTATGTTATAAAAGTCGATTCTCGACTTTTTACTTATTTACCTCTAGATCTGGATGCGGACAGTCAAACAGAGGCACCAGCCGGCGTTATGTCGGGTATAGATACTGATTCTGATTCCGATGGCAACGATAATGCTGTAGATAATCAATTGCAAGTGATTGACAATGAGGAGCCAGTGGAAACTCCCTATATTCCAGCACCGGAAGAGGAATTAAATACGGTAAATATAAAAGAGACACAAATTCAGAAAATTTCATTGAAGGAAACGCCCTCGCTTCTCGATAACTTCAATGAAACTCTCCCTATCTGATAATGCGTTTCAAATGTTAATAACACATTTTTCTATTTCACAGACAAGCGGCGAACAAGTGGAAGAATTGGCAGAAGAGAATAAAAGTTTAATTTGGTGTTTGGTAAAACAAGTCCGTCCAGGTATGGATTTAAGTAAAGTGGTATTACCCACATTTATTTTAGAGCCACGCTCATTCTTGGATAAACTAGCCGATTCATATTATCATGCTGATATTCTATCAAGGTATGTTAATGATAGCCATTGAACTTATATCGGATTCCCCCTGGTCTATCAACAATTTCTCACCTTGAATTTTAATAACGGATTCACTTCTTAATTTCCATAGGGCCGTCCTTGAAGATGATCCATTCACCCGCATGAAACTGGTTGTACAATGGTATCTATCTGGTTTCTATAAAAAACCCAAAGGTCTCAAGAAACCCTACAATCCCATTTTGGGTGAAACCTATCGCTGCTATTGGGAACATGAGAATGGTAGTCGCACTTATTACATTGCTGAGCAGGTCTCACATCATCCACCAATATCGGCATTTTATGTGACCAATCGCCAAGAAGGTTTCTGCATTAGTTGTTCCATCTTGGCCAAATCGAAATTTTATGGCAATAGCACTTCAGCGGTGCTAGAGGGTGTGGCTACGCTAACTCTGTTGCCACGTGGCGAAAGTTATACACTAACCACACCTTATGCCCATTGCAAAGGTATTCTCATGGGTACTTTATCTATGGAACTGGGTGGCAAGATAAATATCGAATGTGAGAATACGGGCTACAAGACGGAACTTGAATTCAAGCTGAAACCTTTTTTGGGCGGTGCTGATAGTACTAATGTAGTAGCGGGTAAAATACGTCTTGGTAAAGAGACATTGGCCACAATCTCGGGCCACTGGGATGCTGAGATGCGTATTAAAGATACGAAAACGGGTGAAGATACCACACTATTTGCAGCAACTAAGGACACAATGAGGAGGCGTCTGAAACGTTATGTTGTGCCAATTGAATCACAGTTTCCTAATGAATCGGAACGTTTGTGGAATTTGGTGTCGGCCGCCATTAGACGTGACGATCAGATTGGTGCTACCGAGGAGAAAACCGTTCTGGAAGAGTCCCAGCGTAATGCTGCCAAGGAACGTAAAGCAACACTTACGGAATGGGAACCAAAACATTTCCAACAAGACATTATTACCGGCAAGGTGGGTTAGCCTTTTTATGACAAAATATACAAAAATAAAGTCATTTTTTTACTCTATCTCTGTTTTTAGTGGATCTACAAATATGCCGATCTACGTCCATGGGATCCTCGCAATGATGTCAAACAATATGAATGGGATTATAAGGTATTAACAAAGACCCGACATCAAGCACCGATGGTACGAACTGCAAGCATTGTTAGTGTCGATCCAATGCATGTGATACGCAATTGTGCTTCTGAACAAAGACAATCATCGTTGGCCATCATGAAGGCTAAACGTAAAAATAAGAAACTATCGAAACTATCATCAAATGATCCAAATAATTCAGATTCAAGTCAATCCCAAGAAGATCTTAATGACCAAGCTGTATCATCACACACTGTCAGAAAGTAAGTAGCAGGATACAATAAATTGTATTACATCTCTATCAGAAGGGTATATTAAAAAAAAAACCTAGAAAAGAAGAGAGTAACAAAGCCTTCACGTGGGTATATAAAATAACTGGATTTAAATGTTGTTATTCATTTTTTATGAAGACTCAAAACCCTTTGAAATATGCAAAGTAGATTCTAGTATAATTCAATCTGCCAAATACAAAAATATCGATATAGATTGAAATGCATTTTAAATTGTCAATGTAAGTCAAGCCAAATGATTTTCTGACTTCTTAAAAAAAAGTTCACAATTACAGAAAACATTATCTTTGTAACTGCCCGAACCGTATACCAGGCTAGCGTTTATGATAATTCCCTAAGAGAATTTCTAGTTCAGTAAAAGTTTTCACATCAAAATATTTTTCATAAAACTTAGATCGAGTTCGAAGAAGAAAAATATCGGTTGATACAGTTGAAATTTCGAATAATCACAAGTGGAAAAATTGATAATGTTGGTTCACTCCTTCAATAAGGGTACATTCATCGCCCTCCTTTCTTACCTTTTTCTATGAGGTGACAGTAAAATCAAAGGCTTTTTCATTATACCCTCAGCCATATGGCTAGAGAGGGTATATATCATTTGATACGGTCAAAACGTGACTAGTCGAAATAACGGTTTTAGACCCTAGGTCTAACCCTCTTTGGACCAAATCTTTTTCAGGACATTTGGAGTCGATCCAGCGATGTCCGTCCGTCCGTCTGTCTGGCTGGTAAGTTCGGAGATGGGCTATATCGGTCCACTCCTTCTTGTACCTCCCCCACAAAAGGTCGAAATTTTAAAAATATATATTTTCTGCACAGAGAGAGATAATCCGATTTTGTCACAAGTTTGCAAATTCTAATATTTGCGTCAGTTCTAGTTTGGTGCAAAAATGGATAATATCACATTTTTGAATAATTATAACTCTTATAAAATGTGATGTAAGAATTCGATTGTCTTAAAATTTCACACATCCCAATATTTGTATAAACCCCAGATCATAAAAAGCGAAACTAACATCCGATTTCATTCAAGACTTGGCACATCTCAATATTTTTTTGCTACCTGCCCCAAGCGAAGTAAGCATTCAACACTCTTCAAATTTTACAGATACAAACATTTTTGCTAATACAATATCTGTTGTGCAGATGATATATATATATATATATATATATATATATATATATATATATATATATATATATATATATATATATATATATATATCTGTGAACCCCTTCTGGTACCTCACTCACAAAGGGTCACAATTTTCAATACTTTTATCTGTCATAACTTGCGAAACAAGTCAGTGATTCTTTATATCTAAATATATCTCCGGTACGAAATGACCAATATTGGTCCATTCCTTCGGAACCTACTCCGTAAGGGGTTAAACATTTGAATAATCATAACAGAAGTCAAAATATTTTTAAATAATCGTACATTGGCTGAGAGTATACATGTGTCAGCAAAACCGACAGATTCTTTTTAAATTGTTTTAACATTTCATTGATACTTAAATCACTTATTGGAATCCTGAAATCATAAGTCTCTTAAAATCCAATGTTAATTGTTTCAGTTAATTTATTTTACTCTTTTATATTTTCAGATTAATGTTAGCCGTTGACCAGTTAAACAATGCTTTAGACGATCACAAACGTCAACTGGTCATGATCAATGCCAAATTGGAACGTATACAATATGCTCCACCACATCATACCGAACATTCGTCGTCTGTCTGGGGTGTGATAACACGATCCATACCACAGCCATTGGTCATACGAGCTTTAGCTTATGCATTTGCAGCTTTATTAGTAAGCCTTTGCCTAAAGTGGCTTTTAAACTAGTTAACATTATTCAAGAAATCTAACTAAGTTAATACATTATTCAATAAACCACACACACATACTGCATACACGTTTACTACAACAACAACAATATTTAAATGCAAACAAAATTAAACAAAAATATATTTAATTAAAGTCACAAAAAATAAATTCAATGAAAATATATTTTTCATTAATTACTAAGCTTGAACATTTTTCACACAATATTGTCCCAAACATAGTTTTTTCATTAATATATTATCTTTGAAAAAATTGGTGGTTTCAAAAATAATATTTAGATTTTTGACAAAAAAGAGCTAAAACGTTTATGTATTTTTATTATAAATATGTATTTAATTATATGTTATGTATACATATATACTTTAATTATGTATTATATGTTTACATTTTTTATATTTTTAGTTGTGAAAATGTGTAAAATAATTTCATTAATAATTTCTATTTGTTTTCTAGAAAACTAGTTGTAAGCGACGATTTCCAATTTGTTATCCTAATCTATCTCAAGTTATAAATTCTTTTATATGTACATTTACTTATTTATACATATGTTTGTTTGTATGTATTTTAACGCCTTAGCTTCCGGTTATTGAAATCATTCGCTCTATTTTCCCGTTGAAACAAACAAATATATATATATATTTAAAATGCCATTTAAAATATAAAGTTTATAAGCACTTGGCACCTTGATGAAATGATAAACAATCAATAATTTTTTTTAATAATCACTTTGAATTTAAATAACTTTTGAATTGTACATTTTAAGATTAAAAAGAAAAAAACTTATGTAAAAATACACTGTTATACTTATTTAATTCGGTTACACAATTCCAAAATTCTTTAATAAATTCCTATTCCAATTTAGATGTTGCTTTATGATTGCATTAAGTATAAAGAAAGGTATGTATTGAAATATTTTGATTGGGTTAAGGATTCAACTCTCAAAGATTTGAATAATTCGTATTGTGTGATTCTATATAAATAATGTTTTCTCGAGTTTTACCGTTTGTGATATTTTTTTCTTTAATTCCTATTTTCACTTTATAACTGCATTGAGAATAAATAAAGGTAGGAATTGACAAATTTTGGTTGGATTAAGGGTAACATCCTCTACGAAGGTGCACATTTTCAACTGACCTCTTTGGCAAGTAAACAGGATCATTTTGTTTGCTTACAAACTGCTGGACAACGAATGTTTTCTAATCGGAGAAAACCAAACTCGGCAGTTCACCACTTTTGGCCAAGCGAAGCAACTCTTTAGCTCTTTTGAGTCTATTTTCTTTCTATTGCGGTGCAAGTTCTTGCACTTTTTGGAATTTCAATGGCTTTACCCCGAGCTCATTTTTTAATATTTGCCGAATGAAATATTGAGATATGTTCAGCTCACGAGCCATTTTCGGCCATTGCGACGCGGGTTTTGATCAAGTCGCTTCTTTACTTTTCGAAACCTGACTTAAATCTAGTTTGTTTCGGGAACAACTCTAGTTTAGTAAAAACTCCTCGATTTTTTCAAATTTTTTTCCAGAGGTACTTATTTTTTCTTAGGGAAAGGGCCTGGAACCCAAATTTTTGACCCGAAAGCCGGGGTTCAAGACCACTTATCTGTTGTATTCAATATAGAAAGCTTATGAAAATATCTATCCAACAAGTGGTTACACTTTTATTTTTTCTTGGGGGACGGGATATTTGACCCGAAAGTCGGGATTCATGACCCGGACTGGACCCGGATCCACTTATCCATTATAGACAATATAGAAAAGCTTATGAAAATATCTATCCAAAAAGTGGTCACATGATGGTAATTTTTAAGCGGTTCGCATGTTATAGTCAAATTATTGGTTTTTTGGAATCGCACTTTTATAAAAACACAAAAAAATCGAAGAAGGACCCATTTTGGAGGTCAGCAAATTTACGTAAAATTATTGCGGGTGCATCATGTGACCACTTGTTGGATAGGTATTTCCAACGATACCATAAGCTTTCCATATTGTCTATATCGGGTGGATCCAGGTCTAGTCGGGGTCTTGAACCCGGGCTTTCGCGTCAAAAATCTGGGGTCCCAGGTCTGTTCCCTAAGAAACAAATAGTTTCCCGGGATCAGGGTAAAAATACCTACCTCTGGAAAGAATTTCTGACACTTGTATAACATACAAAACCAAATTCTTATGTGGTTGTTGTTACGTTTGTTGTACAACAACACTTGCTGTTACCTGTATTATTCTACCATGGTGTTTGCCCATGGTAAAATTGCGGGAGTTTTTATCCGATTTGAGACGACAAATCGTCGGCGTCTATATCTAAAACGTGGAGAGGCGGCTGGGTGCCGCCGTTACAGAATTGACTCGCCTCTGCTGTTTACTACAAAATTGTTTATGTATTTTTATTTTCTTCTGCTAAAGCCGTCAACAATACAATTTTCAATCATAAAATTAAAAATAACTGAAAAGCATTGACCAAAATGCTACACCAAGAGAGTGAAAGTTCTGGTGGTAGACCCCGGCACACATATTGGCGTGGATTTATACGAATTTCCGACAGAGGAAAAAGTGTAGCTCAGTGCATGAAATGCAGGAGTCTTATCAAGAATACTGCAGTCGCAAGGATGTCGGCTCATCGGTATGTAGTTTTTGGTTAACCATATGTAAACTTACTCGCTGATTCCATGATGTTTTACAGGAAAAAGTGTCCAATAGATATGGATGACAGTATGGGAGCCTACGAAGGTCAATGGGATGAACAAGCAAATACTCAGAATTCCCAGCCAGTAAAATCAAAGAAAGTAGCAAATAAAGACTTAAATGAGAGCGAATCTACGAAAGCTCTTGGCGGTGGCAGACCAAATCACAAATTTTGGTGTGGCTATACTAAAGTATCACTAAATGGAAGAACTTCAGCCCGATGTATTAAATGTAAGAATCTATTTAGAAATACGTCATCCTCTCGAATGGGAGCACATTTGTAAGTATATGGTTCACTGCCATGGTTTATAAGAATGTTAAAGTTGAGTGTTCTATTTAAGGCAGAAGTGTCAGCTGAATCTTTATCAAACAATATGTGCTAATGGCGATCATCACTTGTCGCAAGAGCCAATAATTGATAATGAACAATCTCTAGCGGATACAAAATCTGATTTGAACGTGATGCGTACGTTTGAATCACCCCATGAAATTGATGGAGATGACACCACTGGCGATAGAAATAAGTTAAAGCACCGATATTGGGATGGCTTTACACGAATTTATGAAAATGGAAAAACCGTAGCGCAATGTTGTAAATGTGAGCAGTTCATAAGAAATACTGCCTATGTCAGATTGAAGGCTCATCGGTAAGTAAATAGCAGGGGGAAAAAGAAGAAAAGGAGGAGGGTACATGCAACTCTATCACATATACCAAATTTTTAGTATCATGAAATTTTATTCGATTTTCGTTTGTATGCGTTTCGTCAGTTCAAGTTCTTTTTTGTCACAGTTCATTTGTAATTTGAGAATCGTATTTTCAATTTGTGATATTTTATGATATTGCAATTTCAATCACGTTAAATTAGGTACAACGGATTACTTTTAACCCGTTCATAGGACACGATTCGTAATTCATAGTAACATAATTCCTTTTTTTACAACGTTTGTTTGTTGGTTTTAATGTGAATTTTTGAATTATTGTTTTTTCCTCTAAAGAGCTATTTTATCGTTATTTACAATTGGTCTGTTCCAGAACAGCAAGAATGTTAAAGTTTTTACTACGATAAATGATTTTCCCTTTATGATATCGAAGAAAATTGTAATGCAAACCACACACAATTCAACTGGTTGTACAACGTGGAGAGTACTCAAATTGTGTGTTTCTGTCACAAACGATACAACTTAGAGTACAACTTCTTTGTACAACTTCACTTTTCGTAGAGCTTATTTGTGTTAAGATGACACCGGAAAAAATGCATGCTCCATAATTGACTCAATAGATTATAAATTGAAATTTCATTTTATATATACTTTAAAATAGCACATTTGATTGGATTTCGTATTATATAACGATACAATCTTGAATACAACCTCTCCCAGTTGTACAACCAGTTGGAACGTGTGTGGTTTGCATAAAACTAATAGACAGGTACTGGAACTGAGCAAATATTCATTAATGTTTTGACCCTTTTCTGTAAATGTTGATGTTTTCATTTTTGCTGAAGAGAAACCTGTCAATCTATTTTTTGTCGATTCAAAATTTTTGAAAACAGTGCCTCGTGTAACTCGAATGAGGAAGAGAACAAAATTTAATTCCGTTTGAATGTTCATATGCCATTCAAAATTATATTTTTCAGTCTTCCCATGGTACAATAAGGAGGTAGAGCAGCTTCGTAAAACTACAGAAATACAGCCCAGAGGCTATACCCGCTTCTTGTCAGAATTATTCAAAATTATATTCAACAAGTTGTTTTCATTTATTTGATATTTTTTGTTCATTCTTAAAAAGAGTCAAACAGCGCGAAAGATGAATGAAACGCCTGGATGTTCTCTCAAATACATAATCCTAAGTGTTTAGTCTTTCAATTCCATGTTTCTTCCATGTTGTTTTTTTTTTCAAAGCAATGAATACATACCAGTTTCGGCCAGCGGCTGCCAACCCAGTATGTACATGTTTGTGTTTGTTTACTGCTACAACAACAACAACAACAACAAAAAATTGGCAAAAGTCGGGCACACTTAGAAAAAAATTGTAATCAGCTGGTAGCTCTATCATACCTTTTTATTGTACCATGAGTCTTCCTTAAAAATTTGAAAATTTCTTAAAATATTTTAAATTTTGAATATCATAATTTATTTTTTAAATGCTTATGACACTAGTGTAGAATAATATAGGTAACAGCAAGTGTTGTTGTACAACAAATTACAACCCACACACTATACAACTGCTGGTACAACTTGGAGGGTAGCCAAGTTGTATTCTTCGGCCACAAACGATACAAATTTGTGTACCACCTCTTTGTGCAACTTCACTTTTTGAAAAGTTAATTTGAGTTTAGATGACACCGGAAATAATTTAGCAATCTATAATTGACTCAATAGCTCTTATTTTTATTAATTTCTTAATTTCTATTTTATAATATTAATATATACATGAAAATCACACATTTGATCGGATTTTGTGTTGCTTTGATGTGCGCAACAACATACCAAATACCAAAAAAAATATTTTTTTGTACAACCGAGACACAACTTCATACAACCGGCTTACAAACGATACAATATTGAATACAATTTCTCTGAGTTTTAAAACCAGTTAAATATTCATTTTTGAAATTTGAATTATTGAATTTAAAATTCAGAAGAATAGTTCCTCAATTGTTTCATTTGAATGCTTTTACATCATCCTAATTTCTCAACAATTCAAGCAATCGCTAGAAAATTGTGGAAACACCAGCATCCCTTTCAAATTGAAACTTAAATGCATACATACTTATAAATATATAAATACTCCTAATCTCATGCAGGAAGAAATGTCAGGATGGCGGTGACGTATCAATGAACGAAGACGAGAACAAGCCACTGGAATCAGCAGAAACTGAAGATTTCCACAATATTGTAAGAAATATACATATATATATTTTTTTTATTTTTACAAAATACAACGATTTTTCTTTTATATAGCTGTCAGCGTCTTCCTCTTCCTCCTCACCACCCGAACCTGCAATTTTTTTCGACATTGATAAGTTTACGTCAAGCCCTTTGAAAACAGAGAAGTTGACAAAAGCAGAAAAAACGAAACTCGATACACTACTGGCAAAATTTTTCATTGCCTCTAGTGTACCTTTTGCTGCTATCGATAGTAAATTCTTTAAAGATTTTTGTGGAGAACTACAGGCGTCATATATCCCACCAAGTAAAAGTCACCTGGTCGGTCCTCTGCTAGAGAAATTACACAAGGAACAAATGGATAATAATGCTACATTTATGCACACAATTTCCAGTGCTGTTTTACTAATTGATGAGTGGAAAATTCAAGGAGGAGATATAACAAATATTACGGTTTTGTTGCACAACTGGGGTCACCGGGTTCACCTTGAATCATTTGATATTTCTGATTGTGATACAACTCTTCCAAGTGTGCTCGACGAAACTATAAGACGATGTAAGGATCAAGTCAATGAAACTTATAAAGTTGACATTTTCGCCGTTGTGATAAATACCGAGTGCAATAACGAACCATTAGTCTTAAATAGCGATTTAATGCAGAGTACATGCAATGCAAAAATTGGAGAATTGCTTGTTAAAGATATTATTAAAAAGTATTGTGGTATTTCTACAGATAATCGCATAAATCAGCCATGTGTTCCACGTCATAATAAAAATAAAGGTGTTGGTACACTTGATAATTTGTATAGCATTCTCAGTGAATTCAAAAGACCCCATTTAGAGAAAAAGTTATGTTATCTTGGTGGAACTAAAGCAAAATTACCATGTGATACTGCCAGGAGCAGTGAGCGGGACTGTCTTTCATGGTTTCGCGAAAATCTTTCCAGAATGAAGGAAATTGCCGCCGAAGTAGATAATCAAAGAGTATCAATCGTGAAAACGGAAATCAACCAATTACTTCATAATGATAACTTCATACAATCCGTTGTAAATTTACATGATCTATTAAATCCTGTTGCTGTACTTTTAAAAAATTGTAAAAAATCAATTAATTCAATTGCTGATGCGTCAGAGGAATGGCTAGATCTTCTTGCCGATGCTTCAAAGGAGTTGCATGATATAGCAAGTAAACGATGTGAAGAAAGCAATGTATTCAATAAATATGCACTAAGTGCAAATTTTTTACATCCTCTGTATCGGGGTGCCCAATTGTCTAGCGAACAAATGACAGTAGTTGAAAATTTTATGCATGAACGATTGGATCGAGATGGCTTGTTGTCATTTGCCGAGTACAAAAAATCAACTGGAATATTTGAACTCCTTACTGCAAAGACAACACAACCTGATATATTTTGGAATATGGCGAAAAATCAACATAGCTCATTGGCATCATTCGCCCTAAAAATATTAATGATACCGGCATCAACGGCACAAATAAAACATATTGTATCCAATGCCAGTTGTGATTTAAGAAATCAATTCAATTCAGAACGTTCAAAAAAATTGCTAGAAGTTTATCTCTCACTTAAACTGAATGATCAATGTGGTGAGATTTATTCAAATATTGATGGCGGAACTGATTCATCTGATGATAGCTTATAAATTTATGATTTTTACACATATATACTTTACATTTAGTATTATTGGTTAGGGATTTAGTTTATATTAAATGTATTTAACTTATACAGTACCTTAAGTGTAAAAAAAAAACTATTATGATAATGTTTTAGTATTAGTTGTCATACTAATAGCGATTTTATAATATATCAAATACTTTTGAAAAATGTTTGATCTATCCACGATAACTTTTTCATTTATCTTACATACCATTTACTTTTGGAATTATTTTGCCAATGTATGTTGCAGAGGAATATGATAAGCCACTAAAAATACAAAAAGTTAGAACAAAATTAAAAAGGTAATGTACCAAAAAGAATGCAGCAATTTTACAGTTGTTCTGTCACGCAAAAAAAGTATCATATCGGTTAATTTAGTATCTCAGGGATTAAGAAAATCGCATTTTTTGTTATGTTTCTGAAGATGACTAATGGGGGGGAGGGGGGGTGTTTTGATCCTAAAGAAAACGAGTATGGGTTTATCTTACGAACTACGGCACTGGTACCTTATTTAGGTGGTGAAATTTTCATGTACCTTACAAAATGTGGAAGAGTTAACATTGCATCACCTAAAGCGGAATTCCAAAACGCAAGTGTTGTAGGTCTTTGTAAGGTTGGACAAAAATATGAGTCGTTGCACACTATTAATTAAACTCGATAAACTTATATGAATGAACAATTTTAATCTTGTTAAAAATCGGTTATGACTTAGATATAGCTGCCGAAACGGATTATATTTGGATATTGCCTCATATTATATGTTTCACCGATTTAACTAAATTTCGGTCTGGGTCATAAGCTTCAGGGATAACTGGTGGTCTGCGCATATTGTAACAAAATTAAGTTCGGATTTAAATATAACATCCATTTACAGGGTGAGATGAAAAAACTGAAACCAACTTCAGACTGCTGTCATTTCTAAGCCACTTGCCCGACAGCTGTTAAAATTATTCCAGTGACAGCTCATCGTACAAAAGTATTTTAGTGAGAACTCTCTAGAAAAAAAGTTATTCGTGATGACATCAAGCAGAAATGGTTCGAAAAGTAAATAAGCGACTTGATCGAAACCCGCGTCCCAGTGGCGAAAAATGGCATGTGAGCTGAACATATAGCAATATTACATTCGGTAAATATTGAAAAATGAGTTCGGGGTAATAATGCCATTGAAATTCCAAAAACTGCAAGAACTTACACCGCAACAGAAAGAAAATAGACTCAAAAGAGTTAAAAAGTTGCTTCGCTTGGCCGAAAACGTTGAACTGCCGAATTTGGTTTTCTCCCATGAGAAAACATTCGTTGTCCAGCAGTTTGTAAACAAACGTGTTTACTTGCACCAGAACTCAAGCGGCGGCCAAGGTGATGGTGTGCCTAACAGCCGATGGTCGCTCTCCGCTCGTATTAATCGATCGTGGCATCAGAATAAATGCCAAATATTATCGCGAAAACATTCTTGAGGGTGTATTAAAGCCATGGGCACGCAAACATTTTGGCCGCAGACCTTGGACATTCTAACAGGACTCAGCACCATCGCACTTAGAACTCAAGAATGGTTACAAAATGAGGTTCCTTGCTTCATTTCCAGCGCACATTGACCACCAATATCTCCGGATACCAATCCGTTGGACTATTGTGTCTGGAGTATTTTGGAAAGCAAGGTTGGCACTAAAAAATACCAAAGTGTCGATCGTCTCAAGCGCTTCGACGGGAATGGGCCACAATACCGCAGAACAACATTTGGGCAGAGTGTCACGGTTTCATTGGCCGTTTGTAGGCCATAATTCGTACCAAAGGTGACCAATTCGAACAAATCTAACTTATTTTAAAATTTGATGCTATTTCCGACATTTTTACTTTCATTCAATAAAATATAAAAAAATGTAAAACTTATGGCGTTTGACTTTGTTGCAGTTTTTTTATCTCACCCTGTATATGTTCAACTTTTTTTTGGTGAAAAACGACCGTAAACCTGTTACAAAAAAAGTAAAAAAAAAAAAAACAATTAATTGCCTTTTCCGCTTCCGTACATTTCACATAATAGGTGTGTCTGGTTACCCTAAAATTTGTAACAATTGTTACAAATTGTTACGGGAAGACGTCTGTTAACCCGAAAGTTCTGCAAAAGAGAGCGGTTGGAGAGAGAAATTTTGACAGTTCTTTCAGTGAGAGTTTGCAAATTCTTGCTGGAAAAATTTCTTCTTGCAATCTTTTGCAACTCTTCTTCTTCTCATTCATCGACATTCAATCAGATGTTTTCTATTGTTTATTTATTTCTTTTTGTGATTTTAATTTGAAAATTTTGTTTTGGAATTGGCAAGAATAATTGTTTTTGGAGAACAACTTCACAAAATGTGAAAAACATAAATATTAATATGTAATAAGAAAATAAAAGACTAATTCCAACATTTTTAGACAAATGTCACTAGCAATAGGTTTAAAGGATTCCGCGGAACACATCAAATCTATCTTCCTTTTATTGCTTATATTTTTATTTTATTGTCAATTTCCTTTTTATTTATAAAACTTGTGAAATTGGCGGTGGTTCCTTTCGTTTAATTCTTTTAATGGGGGACAAATTGGTTTGTTTTGACAAATCAACTGATTAGTTGCAAGCTTCTGCAGGAATACCGTCTGTTTACTTTTCGCAATTTCCTTGCAAAAGAGAATAAAACTACCTTACTCTCTCAGAAAGATGTTGCTGGACAATTCCTGCAGGGAAAGTAACCAGACACACCTAATAAAAATATTGTTCCTCGTCAACGTCCGAGTGGCTGAAAAACTATTTCAATTATTTTACATATTTTCCTATTAATGTTATAATGGACGAACGATGAAAAGACTAAAACAAACAACACTCCATAAATCGTATACAGTTTTAAACGTTTATTTTGTATTTTTCTTATATAGTTTTTCTTTATTATTATTATTATTACTTTTTTTGTTTTTAAGTACACAGTATCAATTATTATTGTTGTTCTCTGTTTATGTCTGTTTGTTGTTGTTCTTGTTCAAATATTCAACGTATAAAAAAATTACAAATTACAAAAAAAGTTGCACATGAAAAAATACTCGCAATATATATTTTCTTGCCATATTTTCAAAAAATTTTCTTCGTTTTTCTTTTAGTTTATTTTTGTTTTTCATTATGTTCAATTATTTCATTTAATTAAACAATTAATCAATCAAATGATATCGAGTCTGATGGAAAAAAATTCCAATGGATTCTTTACTTATTCTTTTGTTCCGACTTCATCATCTCATTACGGCTGAACTATACTATGTATACAATAATAATATTTAGTATGTATGTACTAACAAATGTTTAGTTTTTTTCTTTCTTTAAATCATTATTATTACATAAAAATTAGGCGTTTATAATAATAATAAAAAATAGTAAAACAAAATAGACAAAGCAATGCTTTTTCTCTAATAAAAAGAAAACAAATAGGAGATAGAGGTTAGGATCGAGTGATGGATAGGCGGGCGAAGGATGATAGAAAATGGAAAAAAAAGAAGAATAGGAATCTTTTATCTTGTAAAAGGAATTGCGTTTAAAATAACTTACAATTAGTTTGGGTTATGTTTTATTCTCAAACAATAAAAGGAAGAGAGGATGGGATTGCAACGGAAGCGACATGGAGAGGTGTTTGGTTGGGTGGGAATACAAACAAAAAATGTAATGTTTAACACCCTGTATTTTCTTTTGTTTTCAATAGTTTTTGTTTGTTATTTCTAAATAGTATTAATAATAGTATGATTTTGTTTTGCTTGTTTGTGTGGCGACTTGTCACCAACGAACAACAGTATTCTTGAAAGTACCCTTAAAAGTTATAGAGAATATATGACGACGGCTGCACAGCAGTTTTGTGAAATAGAGGACCTTTTGTTTTTTTATACTCTTTAGGTTTTCCATTGGCAAAAGATATAGAGTGTTTTTGTGTGTGTGTATGTGTGATTGTGTAGAAGTGTGGGTGTTGGTGTGTGTAAAGGTGATTTTTTTTTTAAGTTTAACGAACACCAAGAACTCTAAGCTTAAAGTTAGTTGTATAGATTTGTTTTTGTTGTTGTTGCAATGAATTTCTAAGAAATTCTCTAATCAAGGAAACAGTAACTTCTATGTATGTTGTCTAGCAAAGTTGGTTTAGCTCTTCTTATTATAGGCTTATGTAAGCGTGTATTGTTGTGATAGTTGAGGGAGTATCAATGCAACGGAAGGATAAGGAGTTATGGGTGTGTACATGTGTAGGATCGGGTGTCCAAAAAATTTAATAAGTTGGTTTTTTTTTTTTCAAACATTTTTATTCCACTTTTCAAGAAGATAAAACTGCGAATTATAAATTGAGATAAAAAATGACTTGAGAAATTGGAAACAAAAAATTGATAATCTTTAAAATATTTTGAAATCATATTTCAATTAAAAAATAACTAATTTTAAATTCCAAAATTCCTGAAAAGAACTTCTTTGAATTTATATCAACAAATTTTGAATATGAAATCATTAATGGTTGTTGATATTTAAACAGCAAAATTATAAATTAAAAAACAATTATGAAATTGGATTTCAAAATCTTCATCTTAAATAATTTCAAAATACGAAAATTTTAAATTTTCAAAACAATTATTAGCGTTTTCAAATCTGTAATTTTTTGGACACCCTCTCTTGTGTATTGGTGGCTAGCAATGAATTTCTATTGGGATTGGCGAAAAAATGACAGAGCTAATGAATGGGAGTGTTGGGACGACGAATTTAGCAATGTGTAGTGTTGTAGGGGGGGAACCTGTGGTGGAGGTGGTGGTAATGATTGCGGTGGCGGTAATGAAGGATATGAATGTGATAATAATGCTAGTGTTGGATTATGGGGGAAAGATGATATTGGTGTATTATTATGATCATCTATGGAAATGGCAGCAGCAGCAACGGCGCCAACCGTGGCCTTATTTCAACCGGTATGTATGCGCACATGGTTAGTTAGTGTACTTTTCTGTCTAAATTGCTTAGGACAATAGGAACAAGCATATGGCTTTTCGCCAGTATGAATTTTCATGTGGTTATTTAATGTGGAGACTTGTCGGAAGTGACTTTCGCACATTTTGCATTTGTATGGCTTCTCGCCGGTATGGGTCTTCAAGTGATTGGCCAGCGTGCTCTGCTGTGAAAAGGCCCGACGACAGACACTACACATAAATGGACGATCTGGGCAACTGTTACGTATACAATGGGCAACGACTCCGGTCGGAGTTGGACCGCCGGGATTGTTATTATTGGACGAGGCGAACTGTTCCTTATTACTTAGGGTGCTGACGGTGGTGTTACTATCGAGAAAATGTAACAAGGGATGGTGTTCTACTTGGGGCTGTATTTGTAAATGTCCTGTAGCTGTTGGTGTAACCATGATGGTAGCAGCTGCTAAAGGGATGTTACTATTACCATGTGGGTGATTTACAGCTGCTCCGCCTCCTCCTCCTGTTGTTGTTGAAGGTTAGCGTGTAAAAATTTAAAATAAAATAATATTTATTGTTGTTAAGCGTAATTAAAAGTTAAAAGATTGTGTTTGTTTTTTATTTAATTTTAAAAATATAATTTTTAATGTTTTTTTTTTACTATTTTTTTAACATCAGTTGTATGGCGTCATAACAAGCGCCTCACCTGTGCCTGTTGTTCCTGCCAGAGTGTTATGCGATGTTATAGTGGCCACCTGATTGGCATGCGTCTTCATGTGATTGTTGAGCGTACTCTGTTGCCGGAACGTCATACAGCAATATTGGCATGCGTATGGTTTATCGCCCGAATGGATCTTCTTGTGATTGGCCAGCGTTGCCTGCTGACTGAAAGCCTTGTCGCAGCCATCACATTTATAGGGTTTAGGATCAATATGGGTGCGTTCATGATTCTGCAGGGTACTTAGTTGTGGGAACCTTCGTTTACAAATATGACACTGATACGGCTTGACCAGCTCATCGGCCTGTGGTGAATTGTAACTGCCTGTATAAAGACTCTTGGTTATATTTTGTCTTTGTTGTGGGGTATATATTATTGTACTTTGCCCTTGTTGTTGCTGCTGCTGTTGTAGCTGTTGTTGTTGTTGGTGTATCAATTGAGCCGTTGCTGCATGGGCAGCAGCTTTTGACTGTCCTTTGCGTGAAGTACCCTGCGTTGTCTGGGGCAGCTGAAAGTTAAGCAGTGCGCCCGCCGTTCCATTATTTTGTTGTTCGGCTAGCGAGGCAAAAACTGCAAGTAGAAAAATGTTCAAGAAAAGGATTTTTTTAATGCCGATTTTATTGCAAGGATGCTGTTATTTTCTGCATAATATTTGAAAGATAGTAACATAACTATATTCAGTTTAGTTCACGAAATTTAGCAAATCCCTTCAGGAGAAAATTTTAAACATTTTTACCACTATGTGAATTACTTGGATAGAATGGACTTTTTTCTTCTAGGTATTGACTAAAAGGTGTCTAATGTTAGTTTGACATATTTTTCTATACTCTATTTTTTATTTAAATAAAACATTTTGACAATGTTGGAAGATATATTGGATAACAACATGGATAACAACCAAGTTTTATGTATTTTAGTATTTTCATACTTTTAATATCCAGTGTCTACTCCGTGTCAAGTTATAACTTGATTATCGACATAAAGATGCTTAGTTTTTACAAAGCTGCTGATATTTCTCAGTACCATGCAGCATATGTTTGTGCTAATTGCGTGACCATCTCTATATGAAAGTTGTGCGTAAATAAATATTTAAGAGAATTTGGCGGGAAACAACTGTACTTAAAACACTGTATGCAATTTAACCTAAGCGTATGTTTTGCAAGGTACATAGACGTCTGATAGACTTTTATATGAAAACAAGTAAAAAAACATTAAGTTCGGCCGGGCCAAACTTTTAATACCCTCCACCCTAGGGTAAAAGAACATTAGAAGAAATGTGGCAAAAAACATTAAAATGCCGAATATCGGGAGGTACCGTTATATAGGGGCTACACCAACACGTGCACCTATAATTACAATGTTTCGCCACACGAACTAGGACCCATTATGACCCAAAAATACCAACTTTTACACAAATCAGTGAAAAAATGGGGCATAAATCATCAAAATACCGAATATCGGGAGGTACCGTTATATGGGGACTATACCAGAACGTGGACCTATACATGCAATGTTTTGCCACACGTTCAGGGACCCGTTGTGACCTACAAATACCAATTTTCAGACAAATCCGTGAAAAAATGTGGCATAAATCATCAAAATACCGAATATCGGTAGGTACCGTTATATGGGGGCTATACCAAAACGTGGACCTATACATGCAATGTTTTGCTACACGCTCAGGGACCCGTCATGACCTACAAATACCAATTTTCAGATAAATCCGTGAAAAAATGTGGCATAAATCATCAAAATACCGAATATCGGGAGGTACCGTTATATGGGGACTATACCAGAACGTGGACCGATATATCTCATTTTCAATACCAACCATCCTAGGGACAATACACACACTTGTGCCAAATTTCAAAGGTCTACGTCAAATAATGTGGGCTCTATCGTGATTTCAACAGACAGACAGACAGACGGACAGACAGACAGACAGACGGACATCGCTAAATCGTCTTAGAATTTTATGCTGATTATGAATATATATACTTTATGGGGTCTACGACGAATATTTAGAGGTGTTACAAACGGAATGACAAAGTTAATATACCCTCCTACCCATGGTGGAGGGTATAAAAACGATTGGAGAAATTATGTTTCTGTATTATATATAATTAGAAGCAGCATTTGCCCCTACATCACTATACGTATTTAGAAGAGCTACCTGTAACAAATAAACTTTTATATTGGTCATTAATGTGAAGTACGTCTGAAAATCAAATCGGATGGAACCAATCTAGATCGATTTAAAGCTACGGCTTTAGAGCGGTTTAAAGTTCAAATCGGATCGATTTTTACAACATTTTAGCTGAAGAGTGGACGGAAGAAAACCCGCGTCGCATTGGCCGAAAAATGGCTCGTATCTCGAAAATATCGCAACACTCCATTCCGGGGTAAAGCCATTAAAATTACAAAAAGTGCAAGAACTTACACCGCAACAAAAAGAAAATAGACTCAAAAGTGATAAAGAGTTGCTTCGCTTGACCGAAACTGCCAACTGGTGAACTGCCGAATTTGGTTTTCTCCGATGAGAAAACATTCGTTGTCCAGCAGTTCGTAAACAAACAAAATGATCGTGTTTACTTGCCAAAGACGTCAACTGAAAATGTGCCACCAGAACTCAAGTGCCGGCCATGGTGACGGTGTGGACCTTAACAGCCGATGGTCGTATTAATCGACCGTGGCATCAGAATAAATTTTTTGCTTTCACTCAATAAAATTTAAAAAAAAATATAAAAATTATGGCCTTTGGCTTTGTTGCAGTTTTTTTTTATTTCGGCCTGTATGTCAATAAATAAGTGAATATTTTTTTGTTAATTTTTTTCGTTGTTTTATATTTTTATCGCATCAGATTTTTTCAGTTTGTCTAACAATATGAATTGTATCAAGGTGTATATAAATACACCTTGACTGTAATATTTTTCACCTTACAACACTATGTGTTGAGGATATTGTATTCAGGACGCAATTATCGTCCGATCCTCATCAGAATTGAAGTCAAATGCTTTTGAAGATGTATATTTAGCGGTTCAAATGGACAAAAACAAAAATTAAAATTTTCTGATTTTGCAGTCGCTCTACACACGACTAAAAGCCAATCCAAACGGAATTTTGAATGAGGTTAGCGTTTGGATGACCATTGATTTGATTATATTTCGCGACTAAAGGGGACCACAACATTTTTGGGAAATTTTTTAAATACCTATCAGTCAAAAACAAAATTAATAGCGTTCTAGGGCATCGCATGTTCGGCCCCGCACAACTGTTTGATTATATTTCGTGGCTAAGGGGGACCACAACATTTTTGGGAAATTGTTTAAATACCCATCAGTCAAAAACAATATTAATAGCGTTCTAGGGCATCGCATGGTCGGCCCCGCACAACTGTGGTCTTTTCATACTTGTTTTAATTAATTCTTTTCAAAATCCTCAAAATCAAAGAAGTTATTTTGTCACGGAATACAATAGCTTTCAAGAAAAATGTAGTTGGAAGTAATGGAAATTTTGCTATCGTAATAAATATGATTTCATATTTCATTTGGAAATATTGCATTTAATTCTCTCTAGATACCAGTTGCACTTCGTATTTATACAATACATCAAGTTAACTGATGAATGTTCCATATAGTAGTTCATCTTGGCGACGAATAAAGCAAACAATGGCTGCTTGAAATATGGAAGAAATCTTAGGTTAATTGAATTTTCCTTTCAGTGTCGTACGTCTGATTTATACACAACAATACTTTGAAAGAATTGGTTGGGATATGAAAATAAAAACAAATAATAACAACACTCTTCTTTAAAACATATTCTTTTGATTTTTATAGCTAATCCGCTGTTATAAATGTTGTGCTTATACGTATGCCTTAACATATAATAATCCTTAGGAAAATAAAACTTTATCTGTCCTGTTATATATCAAAATAAAGCACTGAAGCTAAATGAAAGGGCTCCTAATGTCCTATCCTGGGGTAAGGTACACGAGTCAATAGAAGAGAAATCAAAACTATAAACGTTGCAAATACATTTTTAATGGATACTTCGCGCTTGTTAGAAAAAAAAAGAAACTACCATTCAATTGTAACACTCAAAATTGTATTTGTTGCGTACAATTCTAAGGCGATTTAGAGTTCCCGTCTTTTTTTGCGTTTGTCCTTTTGAATGGCTCTCAATCTGTTGAATATTTTCAAGTTCATTTACATTATTTATCTAGAAAACAATTTGAAACTATATTTCCCAAATGTTCTTTAAATAAATCTTACAAAATACATTAAAACAAATAAGTAAGTCAAGTGATTTGGTGAGACTAATAGCCTGCATAGTATAAATTAACGAAATTAATCCCAGAAAACAATAGAAATGATCACACCTATGTTATGTTTTTGTTCCGCAACTCATTACATATTAAAAGATATGCCCTTCAGCTTATCTACCATTCAGTTGCATTTGAACATTTGCCAATGAAGACATTCTTTCCTTTTTCTTGCCAATTTTTTTTCAGAGCGTATTTCTGAAGCAAGAAAAGGAAGAAGACCTTTGGTAAATCAATGATAAGCAGTTTCCCACAGACCAATGCATATACACATTTAGAACGAATGGAAATAGAAATAATCAAATACTCCGACTTGAGTTCGTTGATCAAAAATAATCATTTTCGAATGCAACTAATAAGCAAATCAAATAACCGAGTCTTATAAATGAATTTTCTATCAGAAAATTAAACAATTTAATAAGTTTTCTCATTCAAAGTTTATTTGAAAGTGGTAATCCACAAGATAACAAAAAATATAAGTTGGTGTTCAATGCTGAGCTTACGCACCTGAATTTAAAAATACTTGTGTGCAATGCGTCCACAGTGAATAATCTATTTCCTTCTTAGTTTAGCTAATTCAAATCAATTCCCGAGGCAGGAGAGGTATTTTAGTTCTCCCCTTACTTTAAAGTAATTTTAATGTTTTAACTTGGTGCTAACATATATGTTTGAATATTCATTGCTTAGATTGTAAATGAAGAAGATTTCAAACGGATAAGTTACATATCAGCACCTGACAGGGCATACCTGTTACTTTAACTTTTTTTAAGTAGCAAAAATAATGAAATGACTACAATTTTGTGCAAAGGAACAATTTTCAAATGAAAGTTCAAAAAATATTTTTGCACAAAAAAAGGGTTTTGTATTTCTCTATTCTAGCGTCCTCTGTATAACTTTATAAGTTTATTTAAAGGAATCAATCATTCATCAACTTCACATCTTAAACCATTTATTGGTTGAGGAAGAATAATTTGAAGACTCATTCTCGTACATAGAATTGCTTTTATTATCACACATTTTCTTATGATTTAAAAATTATAGAAGAAAATATTTAAACTAATAAATATATGAAATTAGTAGTTGCTTGTTAAGAGTAGGTGTTATACGTTAAGAAAAGTAAACGCAATAAAAATTTGTTGTAGGTATTAAAACTAAAACTTATCGTTTTAACTTAACATGAACTTTTGTTAAATCTTTATGTCTTCAATAAATGTGGAATGTAACAATAATGTTTACATAAAAATACAAATAAACGCTCAATTGAAATAAAGGCAAAATATGTATTTACAAATACATTTAGTTTTAATTGGGGATATGCATTCCATACCATCCATGTAAGGCGAACAGACACAGAAACAATCAAACAACAGGCATGATCTCTACTTACCCTTGTGTGTTTTGATGTGATTGATCAGAGTCGATTGTTGACGAAAATCCTTAGAACAGATATTACATTTAAAGGGTTTCTCGCCAGTATGAATTTTTACATGATTTGTTAAAGTGGAAATTTGACGGAAGGCTTTTTCACAGTGTTTACACTTATAGGGTCTTTCATCGGTGTGTATTTTCATGTGATTCCTAAGCGTGGTCAATTGACGAAATTTATTTTTACAAATGTGGCACTGTTTCTTTTTGCGTGGATCATCAACCGGTGGCTCGGGCATTTCCTCCGGCATCTCAACCTTTGTTACGGTCATTGGTGTTATTGGCGCCGGATGGTTGATATTCGATGTGTTGGCGGCCGTTGTTGAAATGTCCAATAAATGAACAAGCGGGTGTTGCGGATGCAACATAGCCTGATGAGTAGGATGCTGTATGGCTTGCACTGCTGTTAGCTGGTGTAGTGTAAAGGGGGTCTGCTGCAGTCCGGCTGCAGAAATTGTCTGATGTTGATTTGTCGAGGTGGTGACCCCATGGGAAGTAGAAATTTGTGCCGGTGCATAATGCTGATAATTGATCATGGCGGCCGTGCTTACTGCTGTTGCATGATTGAGGTGCATCTTGCATGAGGTATTTTCGCCTACCAATCCGACAAGTTTATTCGAGTTATTACTTTAGAGCCTCGCGCAACTTTTTTGTTAAACATACAACTATAAATGAAATATCATTAATTAACAATTCCAATTGAAATTCAATATGAATTTCTTTGATAGTTTCACGTTGCGCTTACCCCTTTTCACTTTTTCACTCTACAGAAGCAGAGTCTGTGTTTTCGTTCGTTATTATTGCCACTGTGGCAACGTGTGTGCTTGTTTTTCTTCTTTCCAATAGAGTTGTCTGTAAAATTTCACGTTTTTCGTGGGCTTACATTTCACACAACTTTCGGCCACCTTTTCACTTAGCACATACAGCGAACGCAAGAGATGGAAATAAATTTCGGCTTTTACATAAAACGGCCAAATGGAGAGAAAACTATCTAAATAATTTTCATTTTTCAAGGATTTTAGATGGTAAAAAAAACTTTTTCAGGAAAAGAAAACAAACAGCTGGGTTGGTCAATTTGTCAAGTTATTCAAAACAACATGCTCAGTGTTGCGTTGAAGGGAAAAAGCGTGGTTACACAGTGTTGCATTCTGTTGTCACGACAGAGCAGAGATGTATTTTTACGTACGCTGAATTGTTGATGGTGTACATTCCGATGAACCATTCCGTTAAAAATACAAGGAAATTTGTAGATTGACGTTTATCTCTTTTTAATGCAAAACGGTGTAAGAAACCTTATTTTTATAATAATGGTTCAATTAACTTAAGGTAACTTCGTTATAAATAATAATACCCAACACCAGGTTCCCATCTCTGATTTTTTGAAAATACAATTGATTAATGGAAATTGACTTTTACAATAAGTGTTCTGTTCAAGAACGCCAAGAATGTAATAGTTTTTTATTACTATTACCGATTTTACCTTTATCATATCGAAAAAAACTGTTACCTTCTTCAATGTTAAACTAATAAAGAACCGAATTTTCAAAATCAAGCAGAGGCTGACAAAACTACATGGTAGAAGAATATTGGTAGACGCTTCGACACAGCTGCTGGGACAATGAGCTGTCAAACCAATTTTGGAATCGAAATTTTTGAATGAAAAATTACTCAAATTTGTAAAAATTATTAAAAAATGCATATTATAACAACCTCCGATTGGCGATGTGTGGTAAAACATAGACAAATTTACTTATTTTGGCAGAAATATTTAAAAAATGTTGACATATCAATGTCCCAAGCATTGATGCATCTATCTGTATTTTTCTACCATGCAAAACTGGATGACAATCTAGCAAAATATAAATATCAGCCAATTAGAAGAAATACATGAGTGAAATACGTACTTTTTCGATCACAACGAGCCCTATTTCATCGGAAAATATAATATAATCAAAAGTGTTGTGTGAAAATATTAAAAATTTGCCATAAAATTCATCCATAAAATATTATACTTTATTACAAAATAACATGAACTGCTAAAGTTAGAGGGCGCTTTTGGAAAAGCAGCATCACGCTAGTTACACTCGTGGCTTTATCTGATCACGCAGACTTGAAAGTCTTACGCCAAAACATTTTTGAAAGCATCATTTGTGGCTTAAAGGTGAGTATACATAAAATGCTGTTTTGACTGGCTTCTTTGTAGAGGAACAAAGGAGTTGACTTAGTTCGATTTTAGCGATTACGCTCCTCTTTTTTTATGAAGAAGTCAGCTGATAACTTAAGCCAATAGAAAAAGACTTGTCCTATGTAAAATACACCAATAATGCTATGTCCGCTTCCTGCTAAAATTAAAAAACCGAATGCAATAAGTTGTTTGCATTTATTTTATATTTTTACTAATTTTTAAAAAGCGTTAAAAAGTATAAAAGGTGTGTGAATTACTTGAATTTTCTTTCAAATATATGATAAAAACTCTTCAAGGTGTCAAGTACATCCCAAACTCCTTAAAAATATTCCAATCATTGATTTTGAAATAAAATATTTTGTGTCTATTTTTCAAAACAATCAAGTAAGTAAGTAAGTAAAATATTTATTGAGTCTTCTTTTTTTTTCGGTTACAATATGTTGTACTTATCGATAACAACGGTGATAATCAAAAAAACGCAAAATTATAATCGTTTTGTTTTGCTGCACATTGACGTTCGTTAATGCTACATGCAAAGTAAATAAACAGAAATTTACAAAATGTAAACAAATGGGAAGAGATTTTTAGACTTGCTCGCGGTCTATATTTTAGCGTGCAGAGTAAATATCTGCATAACTACTTAAACACTAGTTAACACTTATATACTAAAATAAATAAATATGTTTGAACAGTGTGACAATTTTAGGTAGGTATATATGAATTGAGATCATATATAATGTAATGTCGAGATTTTACATGAAAAAAAAAATTGCGAAAGCAATTATTGTGATAATTGACAATTACATACAATGTGTAAAAAGAACATTAATTGTGTAACATATTAATTGTAAGATTATAACGTTAAGAAACATGAGGTGTGAAATGATCTATTTATGTGTAATTTTTCAGGTACTACGTGACTTAAGTCTAAAATGTATATAAGAATATCACAGAATCGTTTTTTTGCATTCATTTATCCCCTATGTGTTTCGAGACTCGTCTTGGTAAAAAAAATCAGGTAGAAAGTACTGGCCAGAACTGTTGTCAAGATTTTCATTTAGAACTCCTACTGGTGAAAGGTAAGTTGAGCCGGACCATAAAATATTTTGTTCAGCAGCATATATTTCATTTAAAAGTTCATTGTTATGTACGGCTAGGTTTTCCACAAATCTCCTTTGGAGGTTGAGAGCATACGTGCAGAATGGCAGAATGTTTGCGCAGGTGTAAATGTGCTGATTTGAGAAGCGCTTGGAGGGATTCTGGAAGTTTTTTCCAACACATTTTCTAAGGATTTTTCGTTCAAACATTTCAATTTCATTTGCCACTGTCGGGGAAATCGAAAACCACATTGGGAAACCATAATACATAATTGGGCGAATGGCGACTTTATATAGGAGCAACTTAGTACTCTGTGGCAGATAAGTATTGCACATGATGTATGATAAACGACCAGCTGTCATTTTGGCTTTTTTCAGGGCGGCTCTGGCGTGATCATTAAATTTAAAAAGGTTATTTATGTTTATTCCCAAATATTTTATAGTATTCCTAAAAGGGATTTCTGTTCCATCAAGCGAGAGATTCAATAGTTTGGATTCAGGCACTACTGTTCTATGGCATTTTCCTGAAGCGTTTCTAATGCAAATTGCCTCCGACTTCGCAGCATTTATGGAAATTCCCCATGTCGTGTAATATGCTTTTATAATTTGAAGATGGTACGCTGCATTATTGAGAGCAGTAATTGGTGAGTTGTTATGACTATATATCAGGCAATCATCCGCATATAAAATAGATTTAGAATTTTCGGAAACATGAGGAAAATCATGAAGGAACAAGTTGAACAGTTGGGGTGACAGAACGCTGCCCTGGGGGACACCACTTTCTATTGCGCCAAAATTGGACATATAATCATTGATAATAACAGTAAATTTTCTGTTGTTTAAAAAGCTTGAAAACATCTTGACCAGAAACGGATCCACGTTCAGTTTAATTAATTTATAAATAATTCCTTTGTGGTATACAGAATCAAATGCCTTCTGGATATCTAGAGAGATTGCCACTGTACATATTTTCTCTCTTAGGTGACTCGTTATATCATTGTGAAATTTAAGTAAGGCGTGATTTGTAGAGTGAGCTGGTTTAAATCCAAACTGAAATGGGGAAGTAGGGTTAATAATAAATTCATTTTCTAACTTTTCGTGTAACACGCGCTCGAAGATTTTTCCAATGGGGTTTTTTATATTAACATGGTCCTGTCACGAGCTGTTATCTAGATAGTATAGACACAAACCATTTGCTCAAAATGCATTTTGTCTAGTCTTTACCATTTTAGGTCTTTGTATCTGGTACCAAATATCATTCTTGTGGAGTGCATATTACGAATGTGAGAGGCTTAAACACCAAATCGGATGAAAGATATATATGGGAGCTATAGCTATATCTGAACCGATTTTCTCCAAATTTGACATACTTGCTTCTAGGCCGAACTCGGTTGGGTGTGCCAAAATTCAGGTAATTTGGACTGATAGTGGATATTTGGTGCACATTTAACCCGAAATCGGATGAAGATATATATGGGAGCTATATCTAAATTTAATCCGATTCTCACCAATTTCAATAGGGTTCGTCCTTGGGCCAAAAAAATATTGTTTGGAAAATTTCATCTCAATCGGATAATAAATGCGACCTGCATTTTGTTCACAAGAATACATGGACAGACGGACGGACGGACGGACAGACGGACTGACATGCATAAATCGACTCAGAAAGTGATTCTATGCATAAATCGACTCAGAAAAGTAACTATGGGTCTATCTCGTTTCCTTCTCCATGTTACAAACAAATGCACAAAGACATAATACCCTTACCACTATGTGGTGTAGGGTATAAAAATTCTCCTTCTCAATTGTGTAAAAAAGACATTTACATCAATGTTCCCAAAAAGCCCAAAAATATTCCCTAATTTTTTGATCATTTTTTTCTCGGACTCTTTTCGAGTTGACGCCCGAAAACAACATAACAGCAGATTTCGTCTTAGAAAGAAGGTCTGAAAAGACGAAATATTCTACAAAACTATTAAAATCTCCATTTATACTTTTTTTGGGTAAAATGTTAAGGGAAAAATTATATAAGATCAAATTATATTGTGAGTCTCTTATAATGTATCGTAAGAAATGACAAAGAAACCCAAATATTAATTTTCCGCCATATCGATTGGAAAATATGGCGCTTGCTTGAGGTGATCGACAATTTGGTATTTTTTAATGCCAACCTTGCTTTCCAAAATACTCCAGACACAATCGACCATCGGCTGTTATAGTGGCCCACACCATCACCATGCCCGGCGCTTGAGTTCTGGTGGCCAACCGAAGGTGCACATTTTCAGCTGACCTCTTTGGCAAGTAAACACGATCATTTTGTTTGTTTACAAACTGCTGCACAACAAATGTTTTCTCATCGGATAAAACCAAATTCGGCATTTACCGAATGGAATATTGCGATATGTTCAGCTCACGAGCCATTTTACGGCCACCTCGACGCGGGTTTCGATCAAGTCGCTTTTTTACTTTTCGAACCATTTCTGCGGATTTTGCTGTTTTCTTCCATCCACGTCCTTGAATTCGGGCTACGCTATCAGTAGACACAAACGATTTATTCTCATTTAAATGCTGGAGTGCTCTAACGATAGCCACTTGTGGTTTTCCAGCTAAATAGAAAGAAATCACACTATCGCGCTTGTAAACAATATAATGAGCTGCCACTGAAATAATTTTAACAGCTATCGGACGAGTGGCTTAGAAATGACAGCAGTCTGAAGTTGATTGCAGTTTTTTCATCTCACCCTCAGTCTGAAGTTGATTGCAGTTTTTTCATCTCACCCTGTACCTTCCCAACAAATGTCCAACAATTTAAATAATTTTATAAAATCTTATA